CCTAGCTCTCCGGGACCGCGGCGCAGCGGGGGTATAAGTAAGGTCCAAAACAGACTGGCAACCCCAACAGCCAATCCACTTGCCGCCCTTACCTCGGTAACCCAATCAGGACGAAGAGAAGGCGGGCCGAAAGCGGAGAAGGCCTCCCGAGCCCAGACTACAAGAAACCGCGGGAGGAGGCAGAGGGAGGGGGCGGGCCTAGCAGGGCGGAAGTACTGGCGCATGTGCATTTGCACTGCCAGGGCGGCCGCCGGCCCGCGAGGGAGGAGACCTACCATTCGGCGGCCGGACCACCTCTCCCGGCAGCCTCGGCGGCTCAGGCGCCTGCGCGGTCCACACTGCCCGCCCTTTGTGTCGTCGGACAGATCCCAGTGCAGAGCAGCTTGGAGACAAAGGAGCTGTGTCCCCGCAAAGGGCGGAAGTCCCGACCCTTTCCCGCCTGTGCCCTGGGATCCGCTTTTAAAGTCCTCTCCCCCACTTGGAGAGACTACCCAAGCCGGGGCGTGTCCTGGAGTCCCCCTCTGTGCCCTACCTGCTTCTCTCCCCCTCCCCCTGTTCCTCTCCCCGCCCTAAACTCCCGGATTTGGGCTTTCAGTAGAGCCGCTACGCAGTCTCGGTTTCCTAGACAACGGGCCGAGCGCGGGGCCGCCCCTTCCGGCGGGGACCACGCCTTTGTGGGCGTGGCGGCGCCCCGCCTTTGTCCTGCGGGCCGGGCAGCGGCCTCCGTGCGGCCGGTCGGGCCGAGGGCTGCTTCGGTCTGGTTCCCTCTCCGGGCCTGTGTGGGAGCTCAGGCGTCCCTGCTGGTTCCAGGTCACCTGGCTTTCCCGGGCTACGCAGACCGGCGCCCCTCGGGACGCGCGCCCCGGCGCTCAGCAATGTGTAAACCGAGACCACTGGAGTTCCCCAAATTGCTGTCTGTAATGGTAGAATGGGACCAATCCAGTTTTCATAAAGCAGACTATTATCCGCAGTGGCGCTCGTTCCAGCCGTTTGTGGGGCATTTTGTGATGCGGATGTCAGTGACCAAACTGAACTGTTTTGTCTTTAAAAATGGGTTGTTCATGAAGCAAAACTGAAGGAACAAAACAGCAGCGGACTAACAGACTCCAAGAAAGGACTAGCGGTTATCAGAGGGGAGGGGGGTGTGGGGAGGGAGGGAGGACTGAGGGATACTATGATTGGCACACATGGTGCAGGGGGGATCGTGGGGAAGACAGTGTGGCACAGAAGGCAAATAGTGACTGTGGCATCTTACTACACTAATGGGCGGTGACTGCAGTGGGGTGTGGGGGACACTAATATGAGTGAATGTTTATATAATATGAGTAACCACATTGTTTTTCATGTGTAACCTTCATAAGAGTGTATATCAATAACACCTTAATAAAAAAAAAGGAAAGAAAAGGCAAACCAAGACAATATTAGTGAATTTAAAAAAAAAAGTTTGCTAACCTTGGACGGTGCTGCGGTGATGCAGTGGTTACACGTGGAAGTAAATGGATTTGATCTTCATTCAAATCCCCACATACCCGGGGGGAAATATTTGGGAAAATGGTTGCTATTTTACTGATGGATTCACACTTCCAGTCTTGGCCCAGTTTAAGGCAAAAAATGAGTAAAGTTTCGTTTCATACTACAAAATTTATTGGCCCACGACTTCAATACTATGATAAGTGGCAACAGAGACGGTCTATGGAATAGAGGGAAC